TGGGAGTCCAGCCAAAACCAGCTATATCCAGCTTAAACCAGGCTGATCAAGCTGGTTTTAGCTGGATTTGACAGGTCATTTTCCAGCCTGACCAGCTAAGACCAGGCTGGAAATGGCTGGAAACCAACCTGGAAGTGGCCAAAACCCCTCTAAAACCAGCCTAGTCGACCAGCTAAAACCAGCCAACCAGCCTAGGCTGGTTTAAGCTGGATTTTTCAGCAGGGTAATCTTAGAATTAATTTTATATCATGGAATTGCAACTTTATTTCTCTGAATTGTCAAATATACAGTCAGAAATCTCAGAATTATGACTTTTTATGTCAGAATTCAGACTTTGTAATTCAGATTTGTGGGTTATCTTTCAATTCTGAGGGGGAAAAGTCCGAATTATGAATACGTATCATGCAAATCTGAGATAATAACCTTTTTGTGTGGTCGGGAACGGGTTCCCATTCAATTCGCTGTGCACACGGGTCATCTTAACATAAGTACCGCACGGCAGTCTGAGTTTACAGCAGCTAAAGGAATGTTGCGTTGGCCGGGAATCGAACCCGGGTCAACTGCTTGGAAGGCAGCTATGCTCACCACTATACCACCAACGCTGACGAGCGATACCGACTAAAGTGAAACCAGGAACGCGCCCTGTTCTGTGTATTTCAGGCAACTTTAACACAGTATGGGAAAAAGTAACAGTACAACAACATTGTATTTAGACTCTATTTTGATCGCACATTCTGCACGCAACATTTAACGGGAGATGCGGAATATCACGTGGTTTCATCATCCGCGGCCGTGTCCTGCAGTTTAATGTAAATCACTGTATATATGTACCCTTTTCCTATTACAAAAGTTGTGTTTCTCTTTTCATGAATCGTATTATTGTACAATAAGACATCCTTAAGTTTGCAGTCTTTAAGTTTTTCAGTTTAAAGGATAAATGACAGGTTTAAATGGAGGACTGTTATTTATGTCTAATGATGGAAATATTGATTACAAATAAATTATCTATAAGATAAATATTAAATATTCATAAATAATTGTTGCAAGCTCTTTTTTGGTAGATATGTTTTGTTTAATGTTTATTTTCGGGTCATAATAATAAAGAGGTGTGGATCTAGTTTTTCCGGCTGTAGTTTCAGGTGGAGGCGCTGCGGCGGCTGCAAAGCTGCTGTGACGTCACTATCTCCCTCTCTCTCTCCGCCACCGACCTGACAAACTCTCTCTGACAGACAGATCGACCGACCGTATGTCCGTCGCTGGAAAAGCGGATAAAAGTCTTCATTTACCGGGAACAGCAGCAGCTCCACGAGTCCGGTCGTCTGACGCCCTGAAAGCCGTGTTCTGCTGGACTGGAGCAGCTCGGATGTTTGGGAATGTCGGGAATTAAAACTTCCTGTTGAGCTTTGACGTTAGCCGCCCGGAGCTGCAGTGAAGGTGTGTGAGAGTCGCTTCACCTGGAAAAACACACTCTTACATCAATGTAATCGAATTTTTAACGTTCAAACCGATTTGTTTGTAATGTATGTGTGTTATTGGTTTGAAATTTAACGTTAATCGTGTTCTCTGTTGAACTGTAGGGTTTATTATTATCGATGAATGTCGATTAACAGGTTTGTTTGGGCTATTAAATGCTAATTAGGTTTAATTCAGTGTCTTGGTCTGCCAGAGTTTGATTTACACCTGTAGTGATTCGGGATTTCAGTCTTCACAGGTGGATTTTGGTCAATAGCTGAGGTTTTTTGGAGGTCAGGAAGGGTTTAAAAATGTCTAGACTTGAACTTTGTACGGATCAATTTAATTTAAAGATTGAGGTAAAGTTGGTTTTATATTAGCCCATTCGTTCACATGCTCCCTATATTGTTTACCATAGTATTTTTAAATATATTCAAAACTACATTAGCACTATTTGTTTGACAGTAAACAATGTTGTACTTTGATAGTCATTGGCTGATAATATGATTTCTCTATTTAGAATTTGCAAAAAAATAAAAACTTTTAATTTATATTATTAATAAGAAGAATGTCTGAATGTGCTAATATAAAACCCAACCATACCTAATTTAAAGATGTCAAAGTCCTAAAGGACATCTTCCATGTCTGACTAATATATAACAGCATAATTTCTTGTTAACATGTTGATTATATACTGTAAAAATATCCTAAATTAGCAGTTTTCCATATTTTGTGATTCATGTTTTTATTTTTCCCTGTTAATTTCTGCTTTTGAATGGCATTACGTGACTTTGATCTTTCTTCCATCGACTTTTCAATGTTAAAACATGTGAAAATGAGACTTTTGTGCTCATTTGTAATAGTTTCCAGTGATCTATTGTCTGGGTTGTTGTTAAATGTTAGTTTGTTCGTTTATATAGCACATTTTTTACAACACAACGTTGCCCAAAGTGCTGAACACAATCAATACTAAATAAAATAAAACCTACATAACAATTAAAACATAAGGCAAACCCCTCAACATTAACAAGGCTCAAATGCTTAAGAACAAAGATGGAGTTTCAGACGCTTTTTAAAAACGGATAGAGTTGGAGCATGTCTGATGTGGGGTGGTCAGTTCCAGAGTTTTGGGCCGATAACAGCAAAAGCCCGATTCCCCACTTTGCTTACACCGAGACCCTGATACCGAAAGAATAAACTGATCAGAAGACCTTAGTGACTTGCCAGGATTATATACATGTCTGATAAGTATAAAGTATACAAAATAATTTTGATTATGGTTGAGCGATGTCGACCAATTTGGCATCGCAAGATGTCTAATGTGAAACATTGCGATAGACGATGACATGGTCATCATAGGCGGAGTTGAATTAATTATTTATAAATAATGAATTAATTCATAACGAATTAATTATTTGTAGCCTACCGTTTCAACTACCTGACCCGCATGGTTTTTGTTTTACCCATAAACTAATCATAAATAAATAAAGATAAGTTGCACACAAATTACCACCTGTCAATCACTTTTTCCGCGGGAGGTTGGTCGGTAAACAAGTTGCACAACCAACAGTGTCTGAGGTTTTCTCTTAAATTACTTAGTACAATTGTGAAAGTGAAAGACAGTGCAGGGTACTGATGCTGTGACACGTTACCTGATAGATTCAAAAGACCGAAGAGTCATTAAAAAGAGACAGGATTAATTAAATATCATGTTTAACAACATGAGTGTGTGTGTGTGTGTGTGGTCACATGGTTGTCGTTTTCAGTAGACGGAGGGCTGTTCAGAAATGCTAGGTAAAACATGGATCATTTTAATTCTAAAATGCCATTTTAACACTAAGACATATTAAACGGGGCTCAAGTGTGTATTTTTCACGAGCGGGTTTGCGACCGGGTCGGAGGATCGGCAATGCTGGCTCAGCATCTTGTTGTCTATTGGCCATCGGTGATGGACGATGACATCATCTATCGGTCCAACCCTAGTTTTAATAGTAACTCACTTGATAAATTGACGTATAAAAGAGCACAAATTGTACATCTATCATACAAATATGAGATCACGCAATGTATAACTTCTAGGAATCTTTTAAATGGCTTTTGATGTATAACGTTGCTGATCAATAAGGTGTGTGTGTGTATTTTGAGCTGATTTTCCTGCTGTTTCTCCTGCAGAATGTGTGTGTGTTTGTGAGGATCTGACTGAGGATGAGCGTGACGTCGTGGTTTCTGGTGAGCAGCTCTGGCACGCGCCACCGTTTGCCCCGAGAGATGATCTTTGTGGGTAGAGAAGACTGTGAACTCATGCTACAGGTCAGACTTTAAACGCACACAAATACATATAAGTATACACTGGGGCTGCACGATATTGGACTGACATTGCAATATTTAGTTTGTCTGTCGATGTATATTGTGATATGAATATAATCTCACAAGAAGTCGCATCACTCAATTAGGAATGATTCATGATTTTGTATGGATTGGGCTTATTTTGTAGAGGAGTGTCTTGCTGTAATGCAATACAATTAAATAGATGTGAATTCATTTTCTGGTTTTCTCTGGAATCTAACAGTATTGAGGCACAGAAATTCAATAATATTAATAACAATAATCTATAAAATACCAGTCATAGTGTAGAGTCTTCATAATATAAATAGTTAAAAACAATTTATTTAGGTTTATAAACCTTTATAATCGCTTGGTTTAAGCTTACTTAAATCTTACAGTCACAGGTCTTAAAGACACATGCAAACGAAAATCTTTCAGTCTATTTTAGGGTTAAACTTTGATGAACCCACGAAACATGTTCTGAACTGTGGTGCTGATCAACTATAATCCCAATTCAAGACTGCAGATCCTGCGACTTGACTTGCAGATTGATATCGATGCTGAAACAATATGTTGTGCAGCCCTAATACACACACACACACATACTCACACATACACAAACTAGGGTTGGGCGATGTTGACCAATTTGGCATTGCACGATGTCTAATGTGAAACATCGCGATGGATGATGGCATCGTCGTTGTAGGCGGGGTTGGGTGTGGTTGTTAAATATCAATTAATTCATAACGAATTAATTCATTGTAGCCTACCGTTTTCACTGCCTGGCCCACATGGTCTTTGCTTTATCCATAACCAAACCATATATAAAGTTACACACAATTGACCACCTGTCAATCACTTTTTTTCCGCGGGACTCTGGCCTGAATAGGCAGAGTGATCTGTGTCCTTATAATGGCTTTTCCCACAGCTAGTGGAGGAGACGAGAGCTCAGTTGGAGATCACTGTAATTTGTATTGTGATTGATGATAGCTTCCTTATTTTATTATCATTATAAGGAAATTATAACAAAGATGCTAGGGCTCGACCGTTTTGGTCGCATATGCGCCCAAAATTTTATCTTTGCGACCTTTACCTTATATAAGGAAGCATTTGGGCGAGTGCACACATTTGCAGTTTTTCATGGCAAAATCCTCACCGCATGCGCGGACAGTGGCGTAGCGCAAAATGCGGAGGCCCCCCTGCAGGGATCACCGACGGGGCCCCCAGATGAAGGTGTTCATAATCTCCGTAATGAACGACTCGTTCACTAGCTGACAATAATACAAGTTTCTGGCAGCGCAGCATCTCGTTGTCATATTTCTTTTGCATTGTTTGCTGATTTTATTCAACAAAACTAGAATAAGCCGAGTGTTTAGTGCGAGTTGGAGCTGCTTTACCTTATGATGAATGCAGTAAGTGACTGTTATCATCAATAACGTTACCTGATTAGCACAAATTTCAGAACATACAAAAACGTAAATCTTACCTATGAAATGTTCTGCCTTTGTGCTTTGTTTTCTTTGTTTGCTCGTTACTACACTCGTAGACAGCGCTAAAGTCCCGCATCTTCACGTAATAATACTGTCTTGACTAGTGCGGTTGAATGACATTTGTCCAGGGAGCACTGTACCAATGTGGCGACGCTATAGACGCATGCTCAGGGTCCCTATGCGATATCTAGTGTATATATCTGTCACAAATTGAGGAGTGGGGAAATGAGGCGGGGTGGAGCGACAACGCGGGGAATCCTTCACAAACTAAGGAGCGACCACAAACCGAAAGCGGCGAGAGCGTCAAAGTAGCCAGAAGTCATTCATTTTTTAACGAGAACCGGCGGCGAGAAACAGCGGCGCGTCTTCATTGGCTATGACGCGGTTCGGCGGCAAGCAATCAGAATGAAGTAGTCCACCTTGAGAGGAGTTCAGAGAACACAGTTCTGTGAACTTTGGTTCCGACCACAGTTGTTCCCAAGAGTTTGATTATTGCGGTTCCTGGATTTTCAATCATTGAAAATCGCGACGACGTGGGGCCCCCTAATCACGCGGGGCCCCTAGCGGTGCGTGACCTGCGGGCCCGTCTGCTACGCCACTGTGCGCGGATTTAGGAGACGTTTATGCAGAAAGCATCTTTGCACCTAAAAACGCCAAACTCAGCTCTCAGGAACAGATTAAAACAGTTTTTATGTGAATGCAATGCTTGCCCCGCCTTTGTGCTCCTCTTATTGGCTCACTGCTCTAGAACTGAACGCTGCCTTCAGATGACAGGAGATACAACCGCGAAAATGTAAAGCGCTGAAGATAAGAGAATGGAAATAACACTGACAGATTTTCCTACAGTTATTAATAATGGCACATCTGATTAGTGATCATGTGCTGAATGTCAATTCACCATTTACACTTTTCCAAGAGTGGATAAAAGACTTCCAGTGTTTCAAGTCCGCTATGAAAATAACTAAAGCCACTCGCTGTAAAGTCTGTGGGACAGGGTTTGCTGGTAACAGCGTTTGCCACTGAATCTACACATTTTAAGCGTGAGAGGAACCTGTATAATCCTTCATTTAATCCTCAGGATGCTGTCAGCCGAGCAAGCGGCAGCTATATGTAACATTTAACACAGCTCATGAAAAGAATGTTATTGCTATTAAGATGACCTGCAAATAATAAGTTATGTATCAATATAAATGTGGGGCGGGGCGATGGATCGCAATGCCGACTCAGCATCGTGAATTTCGTCGGTCTTCGGTGATGGACGATGACATCATCTATCGGCCCAACCCTAACACAAACACTTGCGCACACACACACACACACACACACACACACACACACACACATATACGGTTCACTGCATGCGTTTATGGAGTGATTACCTGCTTTAAAAATTTAATATTTGTATCCATTTCTTAGTCAATATAGACACAATGTTTTGTTGCATTTTAATGAATCAGTGTTATTAAAAGTTTTATTCATAAATTCAAAATAGGAGTGTGGTCTCCTAACATCTTTAGGACAGTAGTCCATTTAAATTCAAATGTCGTATTGTTTCAAGGTGTTTCAAATTCGAGGTGTTGCTGATAAAAATACAAACTACAAAATTTCAACTAAACTTAATATTTTTTTGTACTTTTTTTTGTACTAATTTTTGATAATTTAATACTTAATTAATTTAACTTTTTACCCTAGAATATACAAAAGAATGGACTAGTTTTTAAAACTGTTGTCTGTAGGGTTTGTTTTGCTGGGCACTGTACACACACACACACGACACACACACACGCAAGTAAGTACTAATGGTGTCACGATCCTCCAAATCCTCGATTCGATTACATTTTTGATTCTAAAGTCACGATTCGATTTTCGATTATGAATAATTAATTAATTAATAACGAATTAATTATTAGTAGCCTACCGTTTAAACTACCTGACCTGCATGGTCTTTGTTTTACCCATAAACAAATCATACAGTAAATGAATAAAGGTAAGATACACACATAATTACCACCTGTCAATCACTTTTTCTGCGGGACTCGTTAATAGGCAGTGATCTGTGTCGTTATAATGGCGTCGGTAAAAAAGACGCACAACCAACAGGAACCAGCCAACAGTATCTGAGGTGTTCACTAAAATGACAAAGTTATTGTGTGAAAGTAAAAGATGGAAGCAGTCTACTGACCCGCTGACTGCCTTGACCCGCTGTCTCGAGCGCATGACAATGTGTGTGCGTCTGTGTTTGTGTGTGAATGAGTGTGTGTGGTCACGTGATGTGCGTTTTCAGAGGTAGTGAGGAAGGAGGGCTGCTCAGAAATGCTACACGCCAGTGTGGATGTGGATCGTTGTCGTTCTAAAATGCCATTTAAAATCAAAGACAGTGTAAACAGGGCCTGAGTGTGTATTTTTCGCGGAGGATCGCGATGCGCCCATCGTCTATCATCCCAACCGTAATACGTATATAGCAGAGCTTGCAAACTGTGTTTTTTTGTCGACAACACGAACGTTGTCAACATAACTAACTGGGAATCCAAAATGCTTCCACACCGGCGACTTCATTGAAAGAGGAGAGGGTTTAAGCTCTGTCGACGGGTCTCCTGCTTCTGCAGTTTAACAAGCACTTGGACAAGCCTGTTTTTTTCCCGCTTGGCAAGCCAAGCTGACGTGACATAGGGGCGTGGCAGCATCGACGATTCTATTTTTTGATTCGATAATCGAAGTTGAGCATAAATTTCGATCGATTTCGATTAAAAACCGAAATCGTGACACCCGTAGTAAGTACATATCACATACACATTAGGGGTTATGCTGACTAGTCGACTTCAGAAACTAGTCGTTTCCCCCACACTCTAAACACATACGCTATAGGGGAATTGATGATCTAAATTGTACGTAGTTTGTGTTTATGTTTGTATGTGAGAATCTATGGGTGTTTCCCACTACTGGGTTGCAACTGGAAGGGCATCCGCTGTGTAAAACTTATGCTGTAATATTTGATCATTTGTTCCGCTGTGGCAACCCCTGATGAATGACTAAGCCGAAGGAAAATGCATGAATGAATGAATGAATGAATGAATGAATGAATGTTTGATTTTGTCAAAATTAACATAATGATTAATACATTCTTTCATTTTTTAAACTGTTAGTTCATGCACTTCACTAATGTTAACAAATAGAAAGTTATTGTAAATCCTTAACATGGTCAAATCATAAATTTCAATGAAATAAAATTGTAAAAAGCACGCACAAAGTACTTTTATATAAGGCAGCATTTCTTAATTTTGATTAGTTTAGTTTGATTCTAAAAAATACCTAAAACTCTAATTAAAATGCATCAAAACTATATAGAAATAGTTGAAAAAGTCTCAAAAATGATTCAAAATGTTAATAAATAAATATAACAGTGTCTCAGTGATACTAAAACCACACTGCAGCACATAAATCTCCCTTTCACTCAAATGGCTTATACTGTAAACTGTAAGTAACGGTAACTTGAAA